ACAAAAAGAAAATAATATATAAATCTTAAAAAGCATAAATTAAGACAATGTAAATCCTATTATCCTAAAAAAGCTATAAAAAATATGTTTGTCAATGCTATCAAACTATAAACATAATATCCAACTAACTAAACTTAGAAATCTAACTATTATATACTTTGAAGAAAAAAAGTTGCCCATTGTTCTCTTATCTTGATGATTTCATCTTCGGGCAATGGAGATGGATCTTGAAAGACCTGAAACATTAATTTAAGTGTCATTAATATGCAATGTTAATTATCATAAGGTAAATATACTTAAATGAATTTTGATATGAATTACCTGCCCCCAAGAATCAGTAATACCCGCAGAAACTATGGCTCTCATCCAATACATGATGTAATAGCCACATTCAAACGATTCTTGTTTCTTATTACGCTAAAATGAGAAACAAATAACTATTATTTTCAAAGTCGATAAATTCAAATATTATTGCCTCTATTAATTAATTTGCTAACCTTAGGGTATATGAAGTGCAATGTCTTTGATCTGGCTCTTCCACTTAAAATATTAGCTCTAGACACGATTCTAATTAATTGAAATAAAAACAGATGTTAGCCAATATATATAGTTACAGTTTTAAAACATAATGAAAAATTTTAGTTACTCTTGTAATTGACATTTAATTTCTTGGCTTGGTTTTCGATGTAGTGAACAAAACCACACCACGGTGTATTCCTTAGGAATGATTACCATTAACTGTCAATGGGATCTACATTGTATGACAAACAAATTAGTTATAAAATTACCATGATTAAAAAACCAATTAAAAAATTAACCCTTCAATGTATGGAGCCATGTATATATCTCTTCCTGATTCACTCATCCATGTTTGCATATATTGCTGGATCTGGACCTGAGTGTTTCCTGATTTTTGGATGGATTGAGGCTCAATAAATCCATATACTTGTGCTTGCCCTTGCTCCACACTCAATTTTTCCATGTACCTAACACAATTATTAATTATTATAAGTTAAATGTAATTTTTGTAATTTTAGACTCAGAAAAGAAAATATCACTTACATGGCCCACAACTGTATGATAGATATATTTAACATGGAGTTTCCTCCAACAATCTCTAATGCGTAGGGCAGGGATATGTATAGTGGAACATTAGAGCTATCAACTCCAAAAACTCTAATGTCCCACTACAATTGAATTGGTTTCTTCTTTAATCGTGGTAATATGGTTAGAAGCCTAGATATGGGATCATCCTCAGCTTCTGCGATATCAGCATCATCAACAACAGGTTCTCTCATGACCTCCTTACCACGATTGATAAAATCCTAAAGAAAGAATCAAAATTAGTTAAACAATAATAGAATTTTAAGAATATAAAAGAGTAATAATAAAATTACCTTTGCCCGTGCTGAAAGCGGCATCACCAAATGTTTTGGCCAAGCTAAGAATGTGTCGGTTGCCTACCCCACTAGTTGAACCTCTGTATTGGGCAAAGGCACTGGAGTAGCAGCATCTTGACACTAGTACAAAATAAGCATTTTACGTCGGTTATTTAGGGGTTTTTACGTCAGAGAAACGTCTGACGTAGAAGCGGGAGACGTAAATTTTACATCGTGGCGCGAAAACCGACGTAAATTTACGTCGGACATGCCAAGGTCCGACGTAAAAAGTCATACAAAATTTAAAAAAAAAAAAAGAAAACAAGTGCAGCAGAACGGCCCGCTCTGCTTGGAGAACGGCCGTGTACGAACCTCGGGACTCTCAGCATAAGGTCAAATTCGAACTTTAATTACGTTGTTCATTTTAAAGCGAGGTCAAACACGAACCTTGAACATGAAAATCTGGGGTCGAATACGAACCTCGACATTCTCAGCACAAGGTCGAGTTCGAACCTTAATTATGTTGTTCATCCTAAAAGCAGGGTCGAATTCGAACCAGACATATAGCTTAATTATGTGTTCAGCCCAAAAACACACCATAGGCACCAGACATATAGCTTAAAAATGCGCAAGTGTCGAACAATCAAATACGGTCGCAAGGAAAAATAGAAAACAAAGGGGCATATATACGTACATATAAGACAAGTCCTCAAGATACAATTCACAAAAACAAAAACAACTACGCTATTACAAAGGCAACCTAGGCGGAGGCATTCTCACTAGAGCTGTCGTTGACATCATCCTCCTGAACCAGCCTCCCAAAGCGAACCACCTTCTCCACATGCATGGAGGAGAAGTCAAACCCGGGAGCAAGGAGCCGTGCCTGACGAACAGCCTTCTGAAAACCCCTCTTGTGCTCGGCCACAACGGAGCGTTCGACCTCCGCGAGCCTCTCTTCCACGGCCGCCTTCCCCGCCGCCAACTCTGCAAGCTCCGCCCTCAAGGAAGCAATCTCGTCTTCTCGGCCACCAAGAACGACCTCACTGCGGAGGCGCTCCTCGGCCGCCGCCGCCAATTCTCCCTTTAGAGAAGAGACGGCGTCCTCCAGAGCCCGCACTTGACCACGAGACGACGTCACCTCATCCTCCAAGGACCGGACGCGACCTCGTGAGAAGGCAGCGAGCTGCTGCAGCTCCCCCACCTGAGTAGCATAAGCCTCATTAGACCGCAAAGTGATCTCTAGAGACTTCTGCACCCTGGCAAGATCGCCACGCACAAACCGGAGCTCAGCTTCCTGCCGCTTAGCCTCGTCGATGGAGGCACTGAGAACTTTATTCTCCTCCCTCAGGATCTTGTTCGCCTCCTTCCAAAGATGAAGTCGGCCCCTCAACTTGGCCAAATCCTCTTGCTGCTTAGCCAGGTCCTCCCGCTGCTGCTTCCACTTAGGCTTCCAATGGCCCATTATGCCCATAACCCTCTACAGCATGACCTGGGCAGCATCAAAACTATCTTCAGGGCCGACCTCATCTATCAATCCTTGGTCGTTGGAGCCCAATGAACCCTGAGGAAAGAACTTCTCAGCGGTCACCCCCGCGCTCCACAGCGAGTTCACGTCGGCGGAAGCACTCACGTGATCCAGCCGCACCTTATCCAAACCGTTCCCGAAGCGATGCGCCAGATAATGGGTCCGAGAAGGCCCTTGTAACGAACCCGCCGGCGGGGCCGAAGCTACAGCAGAGACCGGCGTCCCCTACTCGGCATCCTGAACGTCAACGGTAGGGACCCCCGACCCCACCTGAAAAGACCAACCCCATGTCAAGAACAAATAAGATGACATACGGGGAACCACAAAAACAACAAATAGAACAAATACCACTCACCTCGGCAGCATGAACAACATGCTCGGCGGCCGGAACCTCCTCCTCGGCAGCTTGGGCGGCCAGCCCAGCAGCCTGCGTCGCCACCTCGGTGGCATTTCCTGCCTGTAAAAAACGGTCCCAGGTCAAAAGACCAAAGATTATAACAAGAGACGATCGAAAAAACACGATACTCACCACCTCGGCAACTCGAACAACTTGCTCAGCAGCCCGAGTCACACCCTCAGCAACCACTGAGGAAACCTCTTTGGATGGCGGACTCTCGGTAAGGTCCACCGTATCGTCATCAGCGGCCCTGGAGGTCACCTCCTCGGCACTACGAGGGGCAGAGGTCCCCCCGACCTCCTTCTCTCCCCTTTTTCTTTTGCGATGTGTCCTTAGGGGGCGGCATCCTCCTCCGGGAGCTCGGGAACCTCGAGCTCAGCCACATTGTAATGGTGCTTAAGCTCACGCCACAAGTTCTTCCCCATAATGCCTGCAGATAAGAAACAGAAGCACATCAGTAAAAGGCAACTACACAAGCCCGGCAATCTATTGAAGCGTGCAATACTCACTCTCTAGGCCCCTCTCCCTATAAGGCGAATTTGCAAGCGACAGAACGAGCTTGCAATCCAGCGGACGAGGGAGCGCGACAAGATTCTTAATGGCGGCCGCCTCCGCGGCCGTCACCTTCTGATCTCCCAAACCGTGAAACCTAGACGGTTTGGGACGCCAATAGAACGGAAACCTCGGCAAACCGCCGAAGTAAAACACCTCATCTTCCAAAGGGTCAACACCCACGAGGGCGACCCGGAAAAACTCCTGCTTGAAATTTTTATACGATTGGGAGTAGGGAGTAAACAAACCCCCATCCCTACTCCCGCTCAGGGACAAAATGCCATAAGGCGGAACGCCCATCTTCAACTGATAAAAATGAAGAAAGACGCGAAGAGACAC